AGCATGGGAGGGGGTGACAAGGGAACTAGAGAGCAGGAAGTCTTGGGAGGAACGAAGAGTGCGATTTGGTTGGTATTTTGAGACTAGGTTAGTGATGTAGCTGGGGGCCGAGTTGCGGATGGCTTTGTAAGTTGTTAGTATTTTGAATTTAATTCATTGGGTGAGTGGCAGCCAGTATTTTGAAGATGTTGCAGAGGTTGAGACGGCAAACTTTGGAAAGTGATTGGATGAGGGGCTGAAAGGAGAGTTTAGAGTCCTAGCACCCTGATATGCGGGGATGGGTTGATGGTTGTGCCATTGATCTTGACAGAGATGTCAGGGGAAGGGGCACTTGGGGGAGGAAATATTAGGAGCTTGGGTTTGGATAGATTGAGTTTGAGGATGTGGTGTGACATCCAGGCTGATATGTCGGCCAATAAGTTAGTAATACGTGAGGAGACTGTTGCTGTAAGCTGAAGGGTAGAGAGATTGATTTGGGTGTTGTCAACGTAGAAATGATATTGAAAGCCATGGGAGGAGGTTATATATGTTACACTTACCTGCTCTGTGCAATAGTATTGCACAGAACAGCCCCGATCCCCCTCTTCTCAGGTCCCCTGCCAGATATCTTGGCTCCTTCTCTTCTTCATGTGTCCCCATAGCAAGCCGTTTGCTATGGAGGCACATGGTGTCTTCTCACTCTCAAGCTGTGTGTCTCTGGAGCTGCACTTTATAGATGCACACAGTGGCTCTTAGCCCCACCTCCACGTCCTGCTCACTGCATTTGATTGACAGCAGCAGGAGCCAATGTTCCTGTGTGAAGAGAGGGGAGAAGAGTTGCAGCCGTGCACAGTGCTGGATCTATCCTCCCCTATCTTCCCATTCACACAGGGAGGGCAGAGGACAGAGGAATAGAAAACATTTTTTTACCTTAGTGCAAGGAATGTATTAACATTTTTAGCTTTAGTATCACTTTAAATTACCTGCTGAGAAAAAAATCACTTGAGGTAAACTAAAAACTGATTGGTAGCACTGAGCACTCTGTATTTAAATATCTGCATTTCTTCCTGCACTGCCTATGGAGTATGATTGTCTAAGGTAAGGCAGCCAAGGATTACATCACCATTGTCCATGGGTGGTTCCAGCAGGGATAATCTCTGTGTTTGTACACACATCCACCCAACTCATACAGGAATCCTGTCCCAGAGAAACACAAAGTTCCCACAACACAGTTCTTTCTAAGAAACAGCAAATATGCATAGTTAAAGGGACCTTCACAAAAAAACAAACTTTCTTCCTACTTGCTTCTCATCCTCTCCTTGTTATATAATGGCATCATTTTTTTTTTTACAGTAAAGTGGGTACCTTTTTTTTATGGTATTCTTTCCCACTACGGCTCCCGAACCCAAGATGGCAACGTGGAGGATTTCCGGTGCGAGGGATACAGTGCTGCACTTCAAAGAATAAGTATGTGCATTTTAAAGCTGAACTCTGGGATAAGCAAATATTGTCTAAATACCAGAATCATATGTATTCTTGAATCTGGATGTGCTTTGGGTATTTCTTCCAGAATTGTGCATTAATCCAGTGTGAGGCTTTGCCTCTGTGCAGGAGCTTCCTGTAGTAAATGACCGGTCGAAGCTGTGCTCTCTCCTTGGGGTGAGTGACTGCTCTGGTCTCCGCCCCCTCCTGTAGTTTTCTGCAGACATGCTGTCCAGGGTCCCCTCCACAGATCTGCTCTCTGCACAGGTTATGTACAGCACAGTTTTGATGTCACTGCTACATTTACAATGTAATAACTGGGTTTGCAAAGGCATTTGGTGCACACAGAGGATGTACAGTATATCCCTTGTGGCTACTGAGGAATATATTTACATGAAAGGTTTTGCGCTCAGTTCAGCTTTAGACATCAGCAGGCACAGTACATTCAACTGCTCAAAACTTTTTTTTATGTTTTGGATAAAGTGGAGAGGGATTAGAACTAGGGACTGTGTTTAATATTGATTTGATCCTGGGCAAACATTTTCTTGCCTCCCCATCCCCCCATGCAATTTTGCTCTCCACGCTAACATCCCAAGAAACAAACACGCAAATAGAATTTTGGTTGCTAGAGGCTCCTGCATATAATTACTGCTCACTCATTGGTTGCTATAGGTTGCTGCATATCATTACCGCTCACCCATTGGTTGCTGGAGGTTACTGCACATTATTACTGCTCATCCATTCTTTTCTAGAGCTTGCTGCACAACATTACCGCTCACCATTGGTTTGTAGAGGTTACTGCACATCATTACCGCTCTCACCCATTCGTTTCTAGAGGTTACTGCACATCATTACCGCTCTCACCCATTGGTTTCTAGAGGTTACTGCACATCATTACCACTCACCCTTTGGTTGCTAGTGGTCATTGCACATTATTACCACTCACTCATTGGTTGCCAGAGATTATTGCACAACATTACTATTTATCCTTTGGATGCTAGAGGTTACTGCACATCATTACCACTCAGCAATTGGTTGCTAGAGGTTACTGCACTTTATTACTATTCATCCATTGGTTGCTAGAGGTTACTGTACATTATTACCGCTCATCCACTAGTTTCTAGAGGTTACTGCACATCATTATCGCTCACTGATTGGTTAGCTAGAGGTTGCTGCACATTATTACTGCTCATACATTGGTTGCTAGAGGTTACTGCACAGTACTGCTACTGCACATTATTACTGCTCATGATTGCCTGCAACTCATCATGTCCCCCTCTGCCAGCTGCTCCAATCCTGCTGCTGCTTTGCTGATCTCTGCCTAATTGTTGACAGGAGAAGAGTGAGGAAGAAGAAACACACACACACGGCCCTTTGATCTCTGCACTGCTGGCTGGCTGGAGAAGGGGGGACAAGAGGGGGAACACAGAGAGCTGCTCTGCCTCACTCCCTGTTGGAGCTGCTCAGGTCCTGCTGTCCTGACAGAGGGAGAATCGGGATGAGTGGACTCCAGCACATGTAGCCCACAGCTGTGCATTTCCCCTGTCACAGTGTGGCGTGTGGGTACATGTATTAATCCGGCCCGGAGAGCTAGCGGGGGATCAACTGCATAGGAAAATTATTTTCAGGCATGCGGGTTCAAAGGACAACTGCTTTGGGCCCCACAACAATGACAGAGCCTGGGTAGCTTCCTCTTTTGCCCCACATTAAAGATGGCCCCCTAATTTTGGGTTGTCGCAGGAGCCAAAAGAAATGGGACATCTTGTAATGGGAACATTAGATCCGGTGACAACCAGGGATTTCCCCACTTCACATGGATTTCCTCTCACTTCTTGCTTTGGTTCTTGGACAGATAGTGAGGTGAAATCTCACCAATGGGACACAGATGGCAAAAACAAACCTGCATTACTCTATCCAAAATAAAAAAAAGTTTTTCCTTTTGTTCTACTTTAAGGAAGTATAATTGCGTATAACTGTAATAAAGTTATAAAGGAGTTACTGAAAACAGAGCGGGGATAAAGTGGATACCGACACAACTCGGGTCAACCCAATGCAAATCAGGCAAAGCATTTCTTATGGTTTTGTGTTTTTCGTGGGCACAGTTTTAGAACATGCAGTACAGATTTATTATGGCCTCCTGTTCTTCAGTCCATGCTCATATACTACCAAGGTTACTTTACTTATTAGCAATTCTCATAAAAAATACAAAATCGCCCAATCGTAATTTGTCTATTGGTGCTTATCTTCAAGTGGACTGTTTTTTTTACATGAAGAAATTCCTGGCAACATTATTGAAAAGCTTTCCTTGAGCTCCAGGTAAGTGACTTTATCTAGGGCAAGGCCTGAAGTTATCAGTCTGCTGCAGGCAGGAGGAAGAATTTTCTCAGTCACCCTGCCCCAGTGATAAGACTACAAAATTATAATATTGTAGTAAGTTCCAGGGTGAGAGACTGCAGCAAGGGCTGATCTATGTCAGAAATGTGTGAACACGGCCAAAGATTGTATAGTCACCAGGAATGACATGATTGTATCATCTCCAGGCCAGCATTTGATTCCCAATCGTAGATAATGACCATTGATGATGTCTGAACAAAGATGGTGCTGTCCTTCTGGAGAGAATACAGATTAAGTCATTGTTAGGGGGAGTACTGTAACCTGTATGAGAGGTATTGCATAGCTCTATGTCTCACACTTACACATTACTTAGCAAGCATGCACTTAGAGTTGAAGTTTAGGTGTGGCAATTTTGACATCGTTACATTGGTCCAGTTTTAACTAATGTAGGTATATATGTATCATACCTGTGTGATTCCTGTGAAATATAGTGATTTCTGCCAGGTTCAGGGTCCCAGCCAAGCCTCGGACACTGCTGCATAGTGAACACAGGAGGTCATTCTCTCGGCACAGGGGGCCATTCAGAGAACACTTTGCATTCAGCAAAGCGCTGCACATTCCTGTGCAATTCATATGTCATGCAGTGCAGTGCGATTTCAGCCTAATCATTTTGAATGGGCTCAAACTGTTCTGCGTCACACCAAAAGAAGAGCATTCACTACTTTTGGAAATGCAATGCAACTGCATCACATGGCAGTTTTGTATCATGTGATCTGGTGCAGGTAAAGGCACTGTTTTTGCAACCTGCATTTGAGGTGTTGCTAGCTTAACTTTGACACCCACTGCAGATCACAACTGCAGTGTATTATGAGCGTACTATGGGACATGTGCATGGAACATGGGTTTCTGGCCCTGCGTAGTAGTGAATCTGAAAGATGCCCATGCCGAGCAGATGACCTCCTGGGTTCAATAAGCAACAGGACATTTGCTTAGCATGGGACCTGAAAGCAAGCAGAAATCACTGTAATAACAGTGCCTATTACAGAGATTTCCAGCTTCCACAGGGATCCCACAGTTTTGGCACATACATGCACTGCTCAAAAAAAGTAAAGGAACACTTTTTAATCAGAGTATAGCATCAAGTCAATAAAACTCCTGGGATATTGGTCTAGTCAGTTAAGTAGCAGAGGGGGTTGTTAATCAGTTTCAGCTGCTTTGGTGTTAATGAAATTAACAACAGGTGCACTATATGGGCAACAATGAGACAACCTCCAAAACAGGAATGGTCAGGGGCGGACTGATCATTTGGAAACTCGGGCACTGCCCGAGGGCCCGGGGTCAGTAGGGGGCCCCATGAGATGCCCCTGGTACCTTTTTCATAGGCTTGTTTCAGTTTGGGCAAGGACACAGGGGCCCCATGATTCCCTAATGCCCAGGGGCCCCATGAGTTGTCAGTCCGCCCCTGGGAATGATTTTACAGGTGGAGGCCACTGACATTTTTTCCCTACTCATCTTTTCTGACTGTTTTTCACTAGTTTTGCATTTGGCTAGAGTCAGTGTCACTACTGGTAGCGTGAAGTGAAACCTGGACCCTACAGAGGTTGCACAGGTAGTCCAACTCCTCCAGGATAGCACATCAATACGTGCCATAGCCAGAAGGTTTGCTGTGTCTCTCAGCACCTCAGACTATCCAGGAGTTCAGAGATGCCTTGGTCCAGATTTAGGAGGAAATACCCGAGGACACCATCTGTTGTTTCATTGGGAGCATGCCCCGACGTTGTCAAGCATCCATACAAGCATGCGGGGGCCATACAAAATACAGAGTACCATTTTGAGTCGCTGCAATGAAATTTCAGCAAAATGGACTAGCCTGCTGCATCATTTTTTAACTTTGATTTTCGGGGTGTCTTTGAATTCAGTCCTCTGAAGGTTGATAATTTTAATTTCCATCAAATGATAGGGCATCCTTACGTTCCTAACACATTATCCAGTTCATATCAGTATAGATATCCAGAATGATATTTTTTCCCCATTGAAATCTGATGTGTTCCTTTTAAAGTGTTCCTTTAATTTTTTTTGAGCAGTGTATTTACATTGGTTCAAGCTGGACCAATGTAACTATGTTAAAATTGGCATGACTAAACTTCAGCTTTAGCATAAAAAATACTTTAGGTATGTAATAGGTAAGGTGCCTTTATACTATTCATTACCTATTTTGTAATTAGTTAACACATTTTAGTGTCCTCTTTTTTAATATATTTTACTAGGAGCATACTACTTTATATTTACAGTGTATTAGTTTTTTTTGTCCCATGTAATTTAGTTCCTCTTTTATATGTATTGTATTATTGGAAATGCAGGTCATGATGTTATAAATATGATGTAAAAGTGAAAATATATGCCACTGCGTTGCAGTTCAAACATAAATTTCCCAGTTACATTTTTCAGAATAGTGATGTATAGAAAAATTAAAAAAATGAACACTGTATTTGAAGTGATAAATAGTGATGAGTGAACGTGTTCACCCAAACTATTTTCACAGTGAATCTGGCCATTCCTCCAGGTTAGCCAGTCAGGTCAGGAAACTTGTAAGGGGACCTTTAAAAATAAGTTAGTGGAAGACAAAACATTTTAGCTGTCATTTTTTTACTGCAGGTTAAACTATAGAAAACTACATAGTAATAACTTCTGAATGGCCGCTATAGACACAACACTTTTATTTTTCCTCCACTCTGAGTCCCTTTACTGATATCTATTTGTAACTGCATTTCCAGATCTTACAGACATTTTGCTGAATGCTGGATGTGTCTTGAAATACATCAAGAAGCATCCAATGTTTGTTTTGACACTGGAGCTCACCATAGAGATCATTTTTGTGTACGGGTAAATATACCATACAGTATATGTCTGGAGGGAGCTAAATTCATTCCTTCTTAGATGGTGGGGAGAGGGAGCTTCCCTGAGCACTTATCACTAACAAGCATAGGACACAAAATAAAATTGGTCTTTCAAAAATTTACTTATATACGTACATAAATGATTTGTTTGCTTTTTTGTGTTTTGAGAATACAATATTTAATTCTGTAAATGTGGCAGTCCTTGTACCCACAACATAGGCCATAATTACTGTGCCACAAGCAAGGGTCTCACAGACGCACATAAACCTCAAGACAAGGGATTTTTTTTTTTTTAATATGCGTTATGTACAGAGAAGTCTGTCTAATGGTGGTCATACATACTTTGATCTTATTATCTGATCGTTGTGCAATTCAATCGAAATAATCCAATCCGCAAACATTGGAATAGGCATAACTTCCCTTCCAGTCAATTTAGATTGGATTCAATCAAACTGAGTCAATCAGCAGGATGGAAAAAAATGTGATTGTTTTGCATTAATCAGAAGCACTCAGATACTCTGTTCATAAATATGATTGTATTTCACTCAATAAGATTAAGAGATTACATGGTGAAAACAACACTTAATAACAGGGGCGGACTGACAACTCATGGGGCCCCTGGGCAATAGGGGACCATGGGGCCCCTGTGTCCTTGCCCACACTCAAACCACACCCAAAAAAGCCTATGAAAAAGGTACCAGGGGCATCTCATGGGGCCCCCTTCTGACCCTGGGCCCTCGGGCACTGCCTGAGTTCCCAAATGGTCAGTCCGCCCCTGCTTGATAATCCATGTTTGTACGTTACAAACGTATCTTAACTATCGATCTACATCAACTTCACGTTTTGTGACATATCCATTGACTCGGTTATCAACTATAGTTTGATTATTTCTATTGGAAGAGATCAATCAGAAAAGAAACTGATCTTTTATCAAAGCATGTATATCCACCATAGCCTAGCCAAGAATAGCCTAGGTTCACACTAATGAAGTATGGAAATGCTACGATCTGTGTGCGTTTCCCACACCATGTTCCAATCGCACTGCCCTTGCGATCTACTATGAGTGTCAATATAAAGTTAACAACACCTCAAATGCAGGTCACAAATGTAGTGCGTTTGCCTGCACCAGAACACCCCAGATTACATGGTACAAAACAACCATGAGATCCGGTTGTGATGCGGCCCCCTTTGGTGCAATGCAGTGCGATCTGAGCCCATTCAAAATGAATGGGCTCAAATCACACTGCAATGAATCGCATGTGAATTGTACAGGAATGTGGTGTGGTTCCTGTGTGATTTACATGTAGTTCATAATGTGAACTGAGGTGAAGTGCAGCTAAAAGAGAGAGAACAGTAATATGTAAACTTCCTCTTTCATTCTTCATATTGGTCAGGACTTTCAAAAGTTTAAAATAGTTGTCTTTGTTTTAGCCATATAATATTAAACGTGTTTTTATTATTTTTTTTAGGCAGCAAATGGAACCATTGGAAGAACATGTGCCCAGTTATGTTGATTATTAAGAGGAAAAGTTTCCTCTATATTGGTGGTATTAGGGGGGAAGAAGTTCCCCCTCACTTTATTGGTCAGTAAAAGGAAGAAGTTCTCCCTAACCATTGGTGGTTAGTGGATGGAATAAGGCCTCCTTACACTGAATCTTAGTGGGAGGAAGAATGTACCCTTACATTGCTAGTTAGTGGGATGTTCTCTTGTGTGCTAGCGGGAGAAACAAATGCCCTCTCAGGCTTCATGTACACATGAACTCACCTAGTCATTAAACTCTTCTGGCAGCAGAAAAACGCTAAATGCGGCAAAAACATTTGTAAACGCAGTACTGCGTTTAGCCGCGTTTAGCACTTGGACATTTATTCATTTGAGTGGCCAGAGTATTTTCCTTTGACATGGATAAACACCCAAGCGCTAAATGTGGCTAGCGTTTAGCCGTGTTTACATGTGTTTTTCCAGCGTTTAGCGTTTTTTGGCCAAAACATTCCTCTCCTGATTGCGATTACTCTGCGTTCAGAAGAGGAAAGTTTAAACTCTGCTGCTCCTAAACTCTGGTAAAATCCTATGTGTACGTGGACACACAGGCTATTATTGAGTTGAGTTCAGGGGCTTTGGCAAAAAAATGCCAAAAGCTCCCCAACCTGAGTTTGGGCAGTGTACATTAGGCTTTACATTGGTGGTCTGTGGGAGGGAAAACTGCCACCTCACATTGGTGACCTGAGGGAGGAGGAATGCCCCTTATATTGGTACTCATGGGAGGAACAAATGCCCCTTACATTGGTGATCAGTGTGTAAAGGAATGCCCCTTTATATTGCTGATCAGAGGGAGAAGGAATGCCCCTTATATTGGTGGTCAGGGGAGGAAGAAGTGCTCCCTTACATTGGTGGTCTTTGAAAGGAAGAACTGCCACCTCACATTAGTGGTTAGTAGTAGAAGGAATACCTTCTTATATCTATGGCCAGTGGAAAAAAGATGTTTCTTCTTATAATGGTGGTTTGTCGGTGGAGGAAATGCCACTTTATACTGGTGGTTAGTGAGAAGAAAAAATGCCCTTTTCCCTAAATATGAAAATAATTACCCCCTTAGATTGGTGATAAGAGGGAGAAGAATACCAACTTAAAGCAGAGTTCCAGTCAAAGTTAAAAAAAAGTAAGTCAGCGGCTGCAAAAACTGTAGCTGCTAACTTTTAAAAAAACAGCAATTCACTGTCCCCCAATCCAGTGGTGTACTCACCTCAGCCAGTTTCACCAGCCATCCTCACTCCCCGGTGAGTCCGCAGGCACGCGGTTTCACAGCTGGGTGCCCACTGCGCATGAGCGAGTAGCGCTGCACCTTGTGAACGTTCTCCTAGTCTTCTCTGACCTGACGTGTCCAAGAAGACTATGGAGAGGGATGGGGGGAGGACAACTTTTGCTTCCGATTGCCTAGGCAATCGCAGAGGAAGTGGGAGCGGGTACCCGCTCCTCAAAGGTACCAATTTCTCACTTAAAGCAGAACGTCCCCTTTTGGGTGAAGCTCCGCTTTAATTGTTGTCAACTGCTAAAGGGGTAAATATAAGAGAAGGGACACTCCACTAGTCCCATTCGGCTCTAGTTCCATGGAAAGACACTGGCTCTGGTACTATGTGTTCACCGTGGAGTATTCACTTTGGTGGGATATGTTTTTTTTATCATGTTTTGTTTTAAGAAGATTTAAGTGATGGATTATGTATACAATGAAATAAATCTTACAGAACACATATTTATATTATTATAGGCCAACATGTTTTCCATCAGTTTGTGTCCTGCAGACAGGAATTAGATTCAGTTGTAAGTCTCTCATCTGCTTTGAAAAGATCACATGATCCTGAATACTGGCCAGGTATTGTTTCATGCACACAGTAG